GTTTCATCCGATTTTTCCCTGTGCTGGTTGAGAAAACGATCTCATCCTACAGGCTATGAAAGCCCGTCACTTCTTAATACCACCGTTCAGCACCTAAGCTTTATGTAGTCATGCTGTTAGACCTTGAAATGATGACAGGAATTTGGGTATGGTATGCTATAATGTGCGGAAATATTCCATAGCATTTTGAAGGAGAGGGGGAGGATGACGGCCTTTTCATCTGAATCCTCTCTCTGAGGCAGTACTTCCTTCCTCCTGTAGGCTGGTCCGAAGAGCGCTGACCAGTCTAACTTGTCACGGTCCTGTTTTTGCCTTCCCCCATTTACATTACTCCTTGAGCTGGTTTTTCGGACTTTCTTCTTTTCGCTGTTTTGATATTTTGTTCTCTAAATTTAGGGCTTTCTGCAATTATCAATCAATGCAGTGACGCAACTAATAGCTCGCGATTCATTTTGCGCTTCTGAAATCGATATCTTCTGTGCGATACGCGAATGGGTGAAGGCACGGCCAGAAATGCAGGTAGGTGATTGTGTTGTGCCAGACTATGAGTGTGGCAAGTTTCTTCGATAATTTTATTTATTTTAGGCGGCTGCTGTAGAGATGCTTATGAAATGTCTACGACTTTCACTTATCAGCCAGAGAGACCTTCTGAACATAGTGAGGCCATCGGGTCTTTTCGCACCTGATACAATTTTAGATGCTATTGAGGAACAGGACAAGAAACGCACTACTGATCTTACTTATCGTGGTTTCTTGAGTAAGCTGAACTTTTTTGATTTTTCGCATCATCTGCTTTCTGGCTTGGAGGCTGCACAGTCATCTCCGTGAATCCTGGTTTTTGCCGTGTGTGGGTCGAAGGGGCTCGCATCTGCAGAAAAAAGCCATCTCGCTCGTAAGTGAGCGAAAGCGGGCTAGAGGGTAGTAATACCCGTACCCAGCCACTGCCAGCGAGCCCTACCGCTGGGTGCGTGTTCCACTGCGGGACCGTGGTAGCGACGCAAGTGCGGGCAAAGTGTGTGGAGGCAGCACTCAACTCCGCTCTACAGCTCTGTTCATGTGCATCGTTGAGAGGAAAGAGGGTACGCTCCTGCAGCTGAGCCAGCCTTCACATTGCATTTGGCATGTGCCGCCGTCCTCGGAGAGTAGTGTGCAGCTTGTATTAAGTCTAATTCTCTATATCTGCATTTCTTACAGCCCCTAATACGAACATTGCTACTGCTCAGTTGGGTGCTGTGGTTATCGCTGGTGAAGCTCCGAACGTGCTTTTGAGTGAAGCAGGAGGTACCTCATTGGCGCAGTTGTAGCCTAGTTTCGTATGTATCATATTAGAAGATTACACGTCATTATTTAGAAGATGACGTTTGATTGACGTCACATATCACGTTAATGACAAATAAACGTATACTGTTGTCAGTAGTGCCCACTGATACGTCACTAACGCGTTATGTGACGTCATATAACGCGTCGTCTACTCTCCTTCATCATTACGGACTGTCGGGGCGTATCAGCCAGTAGGAGTGCGCACACTGAAGCCGTTCTCAGCCTTTTCGTTGAAACGCGTATGCGACAAAAAGTGGTAGAAAACGAGTAATACGAAGGATATAATGCTGTATGTCACTTGCCCGCTTCAACAACTGGTGCAGAAAGACTTTGGCACCGCGGAAAACGCAGCCGCACTGACCCGCCCCGACAGTCCGTAATGATGAGGAGAGTATGTCACGTAACGTAAACCAACGTACTCTGCAGCGTGCCTCTGCTAAATCAGCCTCAGTTCGTAAATATTTTCAAGGTATTCCCCAAGATGGAGATCGTGGACTAACTCGGCATGCTATTGGTGATGAGGAAGGGATAATTGTACAACTGGGTCGTCCTTACATAATTAACAAAATAGTGCTCCAGCTGTTTGATCGCGAAACCAGAATGTACTCGTATTATGTTGAGGTAAAAATTTGAGCATAAATTTGTATGTCTGTGAAAATGCATTTCTCAGGTACTTCGAAGAAGAAATATTTTCTTTGGATGTTCTTAGAATTTTTCAGGTTAGTGTGGATCGCCGTGACTGGGTACGTGTAATCGACCACACGAAGTATCTGTGCCGTTCTCGGCAGACGCTGTACTTTTACTCACGTGTTGTTAGGTAAGTAGCAGCTGTATCACTTCCGTTCGCTATGGTATCAGCCTGGGGAACAGTTCAGATAACCATCTGAAAAGTGGATCCTGTCCATGTGCGAGGTGTAGAGGTCCGCAGCCTTAGAACTGAGGCAATCTAGCCGATTGAGAATGTGCCGCAAGTGAAGGTTGAAGCTTGTGATGGCTTGATTTTTACCTATACCTCCGCTCGCTTTGATACGCTACACGTTAGCCATAAGTGAGAGAGCGCCGACAAGCAGTTGCTCTGGCCACATTTGAGCGTGTGACTGTCGTATGGCGTGTGGCGTGTTTGTGCGTGCAGAATAGCGGGCCTGAATGAATGGTCATCAGGTCTTCACGCACCATGGGTTCATTGTCGCCTACTTTCGGAGAGCCAAGTGATACAGTTCAGACTTCCATCTCACATGTGGATTTTCCAACTTTCGAATCATGGCATTGTGTGTTTCTGGGGCGGCATCCATACTTCGTGACTACATCAATGTGGCAGTCGCGCGACTGCAACCGACCCTGCTCCACCGATGAACGTTGGGCTGCTGCTACCACTGGTCCGTCACATTCGGAATAGGTGTTCATCCGATCGTTGCGCTCACGATCAGCCTTAGGGTGCGTAGATCGCAGTTAGGCCGCTTTCAGACTTCGCGACGGCAGCGCTTCGGTCGCGCGTTCGACGCGATCGATGCGCATGCTTTCGACTGCATCGATCGCGTCGAACGCGCGACCGAAGCGCTGCCGTCGCGAAGTGAACGCTGCCTTTACCAATTCCCGGTCCGCTGGTTGGCGAAGTATGAACTCGGCTCAAAGGCTGCTGGGATGATGGGAGTTTGAGCGATCAGAATCCGAATTGAACCGTGTGAGAGCAACGCTGAAATATCTCTTAGTCACAAAATATTATTATTTCCTCACTTTTATTGCACATGAGTTCCATAATCAACCAAATTCAGGTATATCCGCGTTGTGGGCACTCATAACTCGCAGTCGAATCGAATGTTCCACTTAGTGAGTTTGGAAGCATTGAACTCATCAGATGAGTTTGCAATCGACCCCAAGACTACTCTGCTGAGTATGTTCTCTTTCTCATATTTCATGTGTGCTCTTTCGCATATTTTCTGTCATAAAGTTATTTACTTGTTCTATTTTTTAGTTCCTTCTACCAATGTGGCCACCATTGAAAACAATGCGTTAGTCATAGAAGGAGTATCAAGGTGTAGAAACGCCCTCCTAAACGGGCAGGTTGGTGTTTTTACGGTTAGTTCACCAAGGATTTCTTCAGTCGTCGGAACAGCTTCCCGTAGCGAGTTTTCTCACAGTTTCTTAGACTCGTACTGCACGGATATTTTCGGGATTCAGATCACTTCCAATTCGCGGGGAGGGTGACGAAACAGATGTTGTGTGTCGTGACGTTCGCACCAGGACCCAGTTGATTTAGTGTGGCAGGGCTACACTGTGCCAAGTTGGTTAGCCAGGAGATGCTTGGCTAGTTTTCGCACGGTTCTCGGATGTCTCGAATTACTCCCCTGTTGCCGAAATTCCGAATCTTTGTAAACAGAAAAGTTATTCCCCTAAATTCTGATAGCAGTGTGTTTAGAATTCCGACTACGATTGGGATAATGGTTACACGTGTCATCAGCTGAATAGTGGAGCCATCACTATTCAGTTGCCACAACCATACCTGATAAGTACAATGAGGTATCGTTTATACTTGTTATGAGCTCGCATTATTCAGTCTACTATTAGGCCATCCCATTCAAAAGTGCCCAAGATTTTATTCATATAAAACGAAGAGGAAAATAGATAAAAAAGTAATATTTTGGCTTTGAGTTAGGTAGATCCCTCCTTCACCAATGACCCGCTCCCAGTGCCCCGAAAGCCTTTGGACCTCTGGTACCTTCGATTTTTCAACAAGTGCGAGTAAATTGCTGTTGATGCCAATTTCGGCGAATGACAAAACATTGTAGCGTTTGCCGTCGGAGAGTACCCTCGACTGACCAGAACAGTTGGAATCGAACGGCTTTATGTTGGGCGAATGGGGCGATTGAACCCAGGTCTCAGTATTGTTTGTGTCCCAGCACTGCCCTACAATACAGTTACTCGGGGTCTGGCACTATGACGAGCAACGGTGGCCTTCTTGCAGTTGTGTGGTACCATCCATTTGTCGATCTGATTGTCGAATAACAGGCAATAAACCGACAGCGGCGCTATTGTTCTCTGTATAGAGCCGCTTGAAAGCCACAGTGGAATCCTTCGCTATGATGATCATCCACTTGCGCCCACGTAACTCCTCATGGTAGAACTCGGGCGGCTTCTCATCTGCATTCATACAAAATTGACGATTGTGAGTTTTGGCTCGAGGTCCAAGACCACCCATATTTCATCTAGGGCGGGGTGCGTTTTCACAGTCGTGAATGACATCTCATGCTGAGAACATTACTGCTAGAGGCATAGAATCGGTACTGCGTTCGTGCTTCTAAAATTAGGTACCCATGCGCACACCCTCTTGACCATCCTCAGTTTATCGGACATAACTCGGGCAGCAGGGATGTCAGACTCGCGGGGAAGCTCGACAAAGGTCCAGGCTCTGGATCAGACATTCAGCGCTTGACTTCATCCACCCTTTTTTCTTGTGCAGGATGAACATTATGGGACCATCCACGACAACAAATTTTTTCCTTTCTTCCTTCTTCGGGCTCCTGAACCAAACCTTCCACCTTGTATTTCGAGAACACCATTACACACAACTACTGGTCCGGCGCAGGTCAAATTTGAGCAGCGCACTTTCCTCTTATGACGCCTGATTTGAAAATCCGGCGCTGATTTTCACCACTCGGGCTTCTTTTCAATTTCTCGAGAACTTCTTCTGTGGCTAGGTTTGCCAAATTTCACAGATACATAGCTAAAGGTACTAGCCTCCAAATGGTATAGTAGCCCGCTGCTCTATCCCCTTTGCTTTTCTGCCATTCCTCTATATGTCTCGGCACTTTTGAATGGGATGACCTAATACTTCTGAGTGATTGTACGGAAGTACAACTGGCAGCGCCAGTGAAGTTCAAAGAAGGGAGATGCACGGGTTGGGCGACTGTTTTCTTTCTTTCTACTCCTGTCAGAAAAGCGCAGACAGTTTTAGGCATTGTTCACAGTCTGCGGTCCAGCGTTTCTCTGGAACGCGGCGGTTCGGCGAAAAGCTTTCGATACGTATCGACTGGCGGTTGGGCGAAAGGGTTTTGATACGAATCGACGGCGTTTCGCCAAACCGCGACGTTTTTCGCCTTCGACGAAACGCTAGCTCGATCGCCGTGGCGTTTTTCGCCAGCGAAATCGATACACATCTATTGCTTTTCGCCCAACCGCCGAACCGCGGCGGTTCGGAAACTAGCGGTTGGCGATTCTCCGATCGATGACTATTTTTTGCTTTTCTCCCAACCGCCGTTTCGTCAGGGTTAGACTGTGAACAATGCCTCAGTCGGGCGTGCGCTAGTCTCGCAGGGTAGGCTCAGTCGTATGAGGGACGTGGCCCCATACGAACTGCGTAAGGCAGACAGGTGTTTATCGGCCACAGTCACTAGTGTTCTGGGAGAAGATAGAATATCAGGAGGGTTCCAGACCGTATTATTGGGCAGCACCTCCTACTGTTCTGGACTCTTTTTCTCAAAATGCCAGTGGCCGACGCCAATCGATAACCGTCTACGACTGCAATCCCGTCTAGAGCAGTGGAGCGCTATTGCAGTGGTAGCGCGTCGACGCGCGTCGTGGCTAAGTGTGACGCTGCTGAGCTGCTGACCTGAGAGTGTGTGCATAAAATAAAAGGTTCAGCTGTAGTGGGACAAATTATTTCTTTTCCTTTAGGTTGCTTCTGTGGGACTGCGATGATCGCTACTATTCGTACTATGTTGAGGTTTCGGTTGACCAAATCAACTGGACAAAAGTAATTGATCGAAGGATAAAACAATGCAGGTAAACGCTTAATTCATTTGCTGCGCTGTAAGTTTGAAAGACAACAGGTGTGAGCTAACGGAACGAGTGAAATATGAGGCTTTGTGCACGGTAAACAAATATTTTGTAAGTTTTCGATATCACGAGCAATTGCACAATTCTGAAAGCAGAACATCCACAAATTCTTGGTTTATAACATTTCAATCATATCAATTTCGTCGGGACTCAAGTCTGGCAGTACGCTGTCGTTCTTGATTTCATGGCGTTTCATATGCAGCTGAAAAGGCCGATTGTAAAGAAAATCATAAGCACTGAAAAAATGAGGGGGGGGGGGGTCCGTTATACTGCGTACAGTAAAAAAGGGTGAGAAGTAAAAAAGCTCCACTCGTTGGAAAGCCAGTGGGTAAGATTAGCCCACGTCATTTTTCTGTCCATCATCAAGAGCTTCGGCAAAATCATTGAAAGTTGAGGGTAGTTATCAGAAAATGGACGTTTTCCGGTCTCGACGTGTGCCCTTCCCTTCCCAACCAACATTTTTGTGTTGAATTAGAAGCCAAATTACAATTACCTGTAAATGATCGCTCCTGGCGAAGCATCTCGAGCATGCAGGGCACCGAAAAGGTTTGGCGCCAGTGTGCTTCCGATAGTGCCGCGTAAGTTCATCAGATCGTGCGAAGGTCCACGAACATCTTGGCCATTGGCAAAAATAAGGTTTTTCTCCTGAAGGGAACCTCATAATTTACACGTAAAGCTGTCTGAAACATATTTGTAATGTCGAAGAGTAGGTGAGTGTGTTGAAATAAAGGAAAATTTGCTGGTTAAGAAGTTACAATCTCAGGCCGAAGATCGTGCCTGTTTCGTCGAGCTGTTCTACACTTCTGTGGACTTTCTCTTTTTCATTCTACTACGTTTCTTTGAGCATTCTAGCTTTGGAACTGATGCCTTCAATAGGCCGATGTGGTCCGGAGGAAACATCCCCACAGAGGATGAGCTACCCTCACTGCGTAATGGTGGCCTAGTTAGCGACACCCGGCTGCTGTCGATAATTTAGTATGGTTCATGGTTAGTATAAGGAGCGCTTACAGAGTTTTGCGCTTTAGAGGCACGCTCCTCGTTCAGTTAATGGACAGGATGTCCTACTTTCGCAGTTCATGTGAAGAAAGCGCTAGGGGCTGGCGACGAAGCCACCGCTCCGCCCAACTTCCACCCCTAAAGGTTTCAGGATGATGCTTGTTCCGTTACTAACTCTCCATCCAACGATGAGAATCAGCGTTAAGGGGGAAAAGCTGACAACGACAGGAGAGAGCACGTTGATCACGCCTTTCTTCGCCTTGTGCACTCACAAGCGCGGTTCATCTTTGAGGCACAGTTTCTTCTTTTTTCACTTTTTTTTCTCTTAGCAAAAAAACCAAGTTCTTGAGCCGCACAGCTCATCACTTTTTAAGGGGGGTAGTCATAGATGGTGTTCGCTTTTGAGTAATTCGATATCAGTGAGTGAAGAGTCGCAGTTCAGTTCGTTTATTTGATTGTGCGAGTGTTTCGCGAGGGTAACCATCCGCTTAGTCGTAGTCAGAGAACCACTGTGTACGTTCCTAAGTGCCACGGTACGTTCGTGCCTTCTTCTTCAGAACGAGAATTACTCGACTCGAAGGGGGGGGGTGATTGCTTGTATCCGCCTATACGATTAGCGTGGAAATAGTGGAGGGCATTATAAGGATCGGCAAGTAGTTAATGAATGCAACTCATAGTCGTTACTGAAGTCACCTAGGCAGGCGAGGGTTTCGAGGCAGAGCCAGCCCCTTTCCCACCGCTCACTAAACGTCCCAAGCCGCAGCGATCGATGGATAACAGGCTGGTGCTGCCCAGCCACTGACACGCCCCGACTGACTTCAGTAGTATTGACCGTAGATCACTCCATAAGGGGATATTTACGCACAAGGGTTCATTCGTGTTTCCAAAATGGAAGTGTAGAGCACCATGTGCTCGAAAAGAGGGGCCAGTGTATCGCTTTCAATCTGGCCTTTTCAAACCTTATTTCTACATTCGTTCCTTAGTCTTCAGGGGTGCCTAGACCATAGGGAAATCATTTATGCAAGGAGTGCTCGGCAGCTACTACTTTTATCAAGCCGCATGTTTATGGTAGCCGTGCGGGGTAGTTTCCGGATTGCGGTAATTGGATTGGTGCGTTTGTGTACGTATCGGCTCAGTCAAAGTGAGCCACAGTAAGATGAAAGCAAAACGCGATCAATAGTATCATTGAGGAAAATCGGCGGTGTATCGTGTTACTAAAGAGTGACGAATAATAAGTTTCATTTTGTGGGATGTCCCAGGTCAACTGCACAAATGAAATAGGAAAAACTTCAAGTTCGGCAGGCTTTTGGACTCATTATGTGCAGTGCTGTTGCTCACATGTTCGCATAGAATGGAAAATTTTGTGAACATAAAATGTAATACCTGTGTGAATGCGTAGATGAGCTTTGAGATGTGAGCTTTTTGTGTAGACCTTATTGCATCCCGGTTGGACACATCGGTGTATTCGTCGGTTATCCGGAGCATTTCGGTGGCGTTTTGGAGACTGCAGAAAGTGAAGTGGGTTCAGGGATGAAGGCGGATAGTACACCTAAATTTTGTGAGTAAATACAACAGTGAGTGTCCCAGTTATATAAAAATCGGTAGACCCTTTTTGCGGGCAGTTATGCTCTGAAAGTAGCACTGAGAAGTGGAGCTGGGCAGATGTACTGCAGTATTTGGTAGTAACTTTCTTCAGCAGAGAAATCAAGGCCAGGTTCTGCGAGTGGACTAACGCCAGAGAGGTGGAGAAAAGAGAAGCTGAAACAGAGTATCCGTGTCCCCAAACAGTGCATGACTCTCCCTGTCAACATAAATAGATTACTACAATATATGGGATTAGTTTATGCTCAGGTTTAGCATGGGCGGGCGTGCTGAACGAATAGTTTTCTTCACAAGCCTCTAAGCATAAGTCATGACGTACTGCAGGCGGCGATATTGCGTAGTGTGAGATTTTTGGCGAATACGACCCCCCCCCCCAAAGATCTTCTTTCTGGGTACTGTCACTTCATTTCCCCTCCCCCTTTCACAACCTACTTACTAAGGTTGTCCAAAGGTTTTCTACCTAAGGGCCGGGGAGGGTGGTTAGCGCTTACGATTGACGGTAAGAAACAGTGGTTTTGCCGCACCATCAAGGAGGTACAGTCGTTTCTGTGTAGACTCTGAGGCGTATCAAGGGCTGGCTTTAGCGAGGCGTCAGACCTCATTCCACCAGTCGTTTCTTTGCCCACTTTCAACATTCAGTGGAGGCGGGCTCTCTGCGCCAAACACAGACCCCCTGATACACTTCAGTGTTCAAAGCGAGAACTGCTGTACACAGTGTGCGTAAAACGAGAAAGACTACTAACTATAAAGAAGTTGTAGTTGCCAAGTACGTCCCCACCTGTTGTCCGTCTTTGTTGATTTTTTATTAACGCAGAGTAAAAACCATTTACACAACTGCATGTTATTTACATGGCTTTTTGTGGGAAACACTGCGTTTCTAGCAGTTCCGCCTAGTTGTTTAGTTATGCTTTTTGCAAGAATTATAGCTCCGTTATGAGCTTGTACGATACGAAAGGAGCTCCTGTATGACAAGCTTCACTGACCTTAGATTCAATGTGTGGAGGAAGTCGGTGAATGAAATCGACTTCTTCTTCGGAACATTCACTGAAAGACTTCGAGCAGCCGGAACTTGTCGACATTGGAGGGGAGGGTACGCGGTGACTTGGTTTGCTCTGCAATTTCCATCTATCGGTCGCTTACTGATGATATGAAATGCGTTCTGCATGATTGACATGGCATAGAGCCAAACAAAAGGAATTTTGATCAGTGCCTACCTCAGTGGGTTGTGTACAAGCGTACTGGCAAGTTGGTCTAAGTTCTTTGGTTG